TCGGGGGGCCTCAGTGAAGCTGTGCTAAAGGACAGAGAGGTCTAAGCAAATAGGGCCAGCGTCTTAGTCACAATGAGTGGGGCGGCTGCTCTCGGCAGGGGTGGGGTTCTAGAGGGAGGGGGCGAAGGAGAAAGACAGCAGCCCTGAAAATGGGGTGCGAATGCAGAATGGGACCAGCGGGATGTGACTGAGTTTAATAAGGCTTTGTGTGTGGGGGGGTTCACTTAGCTGCACTTTAGGGACCAAATTGTCCACAAACGTTGCAAAATCTGACAAAATCTCCCATTGGGGATATCCTCAAAGGTTAAAATGCTCTAAAAATAAAGTTTTTAAAAAAAAATTCTGAATATGTAAAAAGTTCAATTTTATAGGCAGGATGTGGGTTGATGTTAGTCTGAAGTAATTACGATCAGCTTTATATAGGCTAAAAACTATGGTTATGGTATGTCCACATTTAGATAGCTAAACGTGTGTGTAGGTCTTCAGATTTTTACTAGAAATATTGCAACATTCACATATGAATGAACTGAGGTTTCTGTGAAATTATGTTTTTATTGTTCTGATTTGTCCTTTAAGTGACATTTGTGGCTATAGTCCAGATCTAGTGTGAAATGCTCTATTTATAGTGTAAAAAAGCCCCTAAATATATAGTATCAGCACTTTTGTCTTGTTTATAATAATAAAAAAATAATAATAAAATAATAAAAATTGGAATAATAATAAAAATAATTCAAATTCTAATCCACGTTCTCCGACAAGCGGAAGCGATGAGACCTGTTTTCCGGGTTTGGTCAGGTGATGTTCGACATATACCCTATTCATGGGTTTCAGAGTTTTGTTGGTTAGCATGGCTGTTAGCCCCTGCTGGTAGGCTATAGCTGCAACATCTGGGTCCAAAAAGCATCTTTACCAATTGTTATAGCTAAGGAGCCTCACACATGACATGCAAGGACGAAAGAAAAAATATATAGATAGAACGAATTAATAAAACATGGCCACGATTAAATTGAAATGAGGGACTGAATTAATAAATGTAGCCACGAATAAGTTGTGGGAATGTGTTCCTAATTCATGAATATTTCATTATGGTCGATACTTTTATTTATTTGAAGAGAATATTTTGGAGAGTGCATTTCCCATACAATGTAACTTGCTGCTTAACTACCACAGTATAATGCATCACTGGAGAAATATCTTAATTAGTCAATATTGCAATTAATGTGAGATTATTATTATAGTATATTAATTAGTAGTTAATCACATTAACTTGCAGTATGTAATTGCCGTACACTTTACTCCCATGTATATGCGATTCATTCAGTCAACAGCTTTCTCCACAATGTAATTTCCCCAAAATGCTGCTGTAACGAATATGGCATCTGAGGACTTTACTAGTTTTGCTTTATTTTTTTAGTTTTGATTCATTAAGGGTTTTATTCTGTGGTCTCACATCATACACCAGGATTCCCTTGCACATTTACGCACATGCACACTCCAAAACGGTGCTGATTGCACAAGCTAAAATGAATTATTGGAATGTATATATTTAAAATGGAATAAAAGATATAGATTGTACTGCATGTTAGCTTGTTCACTGTGCCCAAGAGCATAATCTATGTCCACGTCAGACTATCAGGAAACTGTGCTTCTAAACACAGGTCGAGAGCTGTAGAATCGTTGAACTATGTTTGTATCGACTGAACTATTGTTGGCTAATGATGCTTTTGGGAAACTCACCCCTGAGCAAGTTACTCAAACTAGTGAGCTACTTGAATAATAACACATAAAGATTAAGGGCACAAACATTTGAAGAGAAATCTATCACAACCTTGAGGTTTCTTACCAATATTCGACTGTCAGGTTCAAGACATAAAAATGCCATTCATTTTCTAAATAGGAAAATAGATTTTTAAAGATAACAACAACGTTAAATGGATATTTCTCCATTATTTTTGTCATTATGTCATTCATTCGCATTGGTTCATGGGATTGTAGTTCTTTCCCTCATTAAACCTGTTAAGTACACTTTTTGTCTGATTTTCATTTACTATTTGTTTTTGAACAAAGATATTGATTAAGGATATGATTTTTAGCAGTGTTGAGCTGAAATTGCACAAACCATATGTCTCATTGATCATTCAATCACAAACACACCGTGAGCTCTGAGGGCAACCCATCTCGGGTGTTGTTGACAAAACCAGATCCCCTCTTTCCCAGCAGTAGCTGTGCCACTGACCTCATACCGCTGAGGGGAGGGAGACGAGTGATGAGGTTGTTGTGAAGCCGCTTCACCCCTGAACCCTCGCCAACGTCTCTCTCCTCCACCAGTCACTCGCCAAGGACGTGGAAATCCCATAATAACCCGTCTCCACGGCACCCCACCAGTCCAGCTCCCTACTTCCCAGATGTTTCCAATTAAAAAGGAGGCCTTTCAGTCCAAGCCTATTTTCTGCATGCTGAGAGAAAGAGCGAGAGAGAGACGGAGAGCAGGTTGCAGAGAGATGGAAGGGCTGAAGGGAGGAAAAAATGACTTTCTTTTGATACAAAAAGGCCGTTGAGGGCAGAGGGTGACATTTGAAAAGTCACAGTGGCTGGACGCTTGTTTTGATCGCAGATATCTGAGGAATGAAAGATGAATTGTATCGCTCATGTCTGAGTCAGACAAAGATTTTCAGATTAAAATCACGCTTGTGGTCACAAAATCTGGGTCTTGTTTTTAAAAATGCTGTTCTTTCTCTGCGCTTCATTAAAGGTATGCTGCCAAATATAATCATCACACACAAAAGACATATGGTCTGTATTTTTTCAGTTGGTGTGGTGGCAGCTGCCGGCAGGTCTGTGTTTGCCACTCAAAACCTCAATGTTGCCACAAAAGAGGCTGCCAAAAAGTAAAGACAGGGAGGATTTTAAACGAATAGTTCACCCAAAAATGAAAGTTGAGTCTTCATTTACTCAGACATATTTTGGTCTGTTCCACACAAAGCTATTGTCTGGGTTCAGAAGACTTGGAATGTAGTACTTGAGCCATATATTTTGGTACTATTAAATATTGAACCAATCCAGTCTCTGTTCACTTCTATTGAATGGACAAGAGCAGCTCGGACATTTTGCTAAACATCTTATTTTGTGTCACATTGAAATTGTAATAAATAAATAAATACTGTTCAAACATTTGGGGTTAGTAAAATGTATTATTGTTTTTAAAAGAGGTTTTGCTCAATGCTGTATTTATTTGATTAAAAATACAATAAATATTGTGGAATATTATTACAATTTAAAATAATTATTTTCTATTTTACTATATTAAAATGCCATTTATTCCTGTGATGGCAAAGCATTTATTATTATTATTATTTTATTTTAAAGTAATCTTTACTTTCACTTTAGATAGATTTGATGCATCCTTGCTGAATAAAAATATAAATTACTTTAAAAAAAATAAAAATCTTACTGACCACAAACTTTTGAATGGTAGTGTACATTAATAAATGCTTTTTTTTTCTTGGGTGAACTATCCATTTAAGGATGAATTTCACAAAACCATTCAATAGCATGTTATTGTTAACTGATTTGACAGTAAAGTCTCCCTCCTGCCAGTTCTCTTTACTGTAATGCAGAATCTCATTCTCTGTAATATAGTAAGATTTTTTTCAAAAATATATATATTTTTTATCTTTAAGTACTAGACACATTATAGTAATAAGTTTAATTAGCTTTAAAAAATTAGCTTAATTGTGTTAAATACCATATGTCACAATACAAACAATCTTAATGTTCCTAAAATAGTCTTTATTCTGAATTATGCTCTTATTTCTTTCGGACCTGGACATATTTTTGCAAGATTCAGCTTAACATCTTAAATGCATATTAATAGTTTTTCATATTCCTGCAAAGACAATCCACTTTATGCATTATGAAGTAAGCTAATGGGCCATGTTTTATCTCTTGCTTTCTATGAAAATGCATTCAAGAGCCATAACATGCAATAGCTTATATGCAGAATAACTTGTATGGAGTTAATGATTTTGCCTATTTTCCTGTGATTCAGCCAGTGCTGATGTGGTATGGTGGCCTAGAGCATTCTTTAAAGTAATATTGCCAACCATGTGAAGCTGTGCCAGTGCGGTTTAGCTTTCAACTTCTGCAAGATATCAATGCAACTACAAATGTGGGTCATCAGCAAGGCTGCAGAGAATCTGCCTGCAGAATTACAAAAAGTTCTGCAGAATTGAAACATTCCTCGGTCAAGTTATACACCTCTTACATCCCTTGTGTATTTGTTTACTAAATATATTGGCTAATTTGAATATGCTTTTTGCTATCAATAGATCTGACGTATGTGCATTGGAATTACATTGATTTTCCCCAACAAGCAGTTCTGGAAAATTGAAAAGAACTGCATAGATACCATGTGAGCTGTCCTGATAGCAATCACAACAGGATAGCAACTAAGACCAATGACTTAATAACTGTCTGATGTTCTCAGTTGGCCCGCATGTAAACTACAGACCCAGAATTCTGCAAAAGTCTCAACTGTGAAACTATGAAAAACGTCAAAACCATGATAACATCTTTAACATGACAGCATGAAAACCTGTGTCACCAGCAATGTTTGTTTATCTGCTTTGGCTAATTTTTATTATTTTTTAATGTCTTCTCTGTCCTATTTTTACCATATTAAATCAATCCTAAATCATTTCACCCCACAATCAGTGCAGAACAAGCAAAAACAGTGTACAGATCCAGCAAGGGCCTTGTCATCATGTACAGACTTCAACTGATCCTGAACAATTTGAACAAAGAGAGTGTTTTACTGCTGCTGACCTAACATTAATAGGAGTGTAATTGAGTTTTCTCTAAGGCTGTGGCTTAAACATTAGTATGCAATCTAAAGTGCATTAAAAGCTTGTTAATGTGTTTTTTTTTTTCACGTGTTGATAAAGCAGCGTTTGTTCTCATAGGGCCTCAAGCACACAATCTCAATGTGTTTTCTTTGGCAGCTTGGGCGCTAGTGGATCTTAGGATGGAGGACTCTGTAGAGGTTTACATGGATGAGTCTGCAGAGATCCCCTGCCTGTACACCTTCACTGAGAAGCCCATGATGGTCATGGTCCAGTGGTTTGTGGTGAGTCCTGAAAGCTCTCAGACTCTTTCACTTATTTGATTTAAAGCGATAGTTCACCCAAAAATTATAATTCTGTCTACCCTCATGTCGTTCCAAACCTATAAGAGTTGTGTTCATCTTCGAGCACAAATTAAGATATTTTTAAAGAAACCTGAAAGATTTGTAAAAAATAATCTAGTTTAATTCAAGTCTTCTACAGTGATGCAATCGCTTTATGTGGAGAACAGATTAATGTAGGCTTTTATTCACATATAAACATTGATCAGCATGCATAAACAATCTTAAATATGGTAAACCGAAGCTCAACTATACTTGTTTGGTGTGAGAACAAACTTCATTGTTTCTTGCAGAAACTCAAACATGTTTATGTGACGTCAAGCAAGTATGTTAGAGCTTTCGTTGACCGTATTTGATGAGCTCTATGAATATTGATCAATGTTTTGAATGGGAATAAAATTAAAGTTGTTCATCATTGAAATCGATCATGTCTCTACAGAAGACTTGGATTAAACCGCTTGTTTAATTTGGAGCACTTTTACAATGTCTTTTACTGCGTGTACTTTATTTTTTTTGTGTGTGATTTTTTTGGTTGCAGGGACTTTCAATAGATGGACAAAATGATGAAAGAATATTAGAAATAGATGAATGGAAACAGATAAAGATGAACGGAAGTCTTATAGGTTTGGAATGATATGAGGATGAATAAATTATGACAGAACTTCCCTTTTTGGGTCAACTTAGAACGAGCCGTTTTAGGTAGGTGTGACTGACTCTTAACTTTTATAAAGAATATCTCTTTGGATTTGAGACTTTAGTCTTTGCAACTTTACAGATCTTCTTTATGCACCAAGAGCTTGTAACACTCCAAAGAGAAAGGAAAAATTGAAATCGCATCATATGACCCCTTTAATGTTTCTGGATATGTTTAATTGCTCAGATTTAAAAATTTTGCCTGGCTGACATTAAAATGATTAAAAAGTCCCTTAGACTTACATTTGAATGAGGGACTCGAATCATATCTACAGACCATTTACCAAGTTTTACTTCCCATCATCCTCAGCGGGAACGTGAAGGTCACCGGGTCAGGATCTCCTACAGCGACCTGACCATGCAGAAGGTGGACGAGAACACGAGCTACAGCAATCGTATCAGTGTGCGATCAAACAGTGATGGAGAAACTCTGACCATTCAGGACGTTAAGCTGTCTGATGAAAGAGAGTTTTTCTGTCAGGTCAGTGGTTTGGCAGCAGGCAATGGAGAGGGCAGGACTCTCTTGAAGGTTTTTGGTAAGTCTCTCACTCCTGTCAGTTGAACATTCTCACTAAATGGCTTAATATCGTTGCTTCTTTTCCTGAGTTTATAAGTATAAATATTAACTTGCTGTTTTCAGACCCCCCAGAGCCTCCTGTCATTGACGGTGTCCTCTCTGGAGTTTCTGTGTCCGGTGACTCCACAGCTAAGGTACATCATATACTTAGATTCTCTCTGTGTGCATATATAATGTTTGTGTGAGTCAAATACTGTGTGGTGGGTTTAAGCTGACACATCTTTTATTTGGTTAGATTGCATCTTGTGAGACCAGAGAAGGCTTTCCCAAGCCAAACATCACATGGTACCGTGATCACATCCCCATCCACCCCATTAGTGGCTGTGAGTAAAAGGAATACTGTATGCTCTGCACAGACCTCATCACTGACAGATTTATCTATATATTTTTATCTATAACATTATCATTCATTTCGCTTTATAATTCAGCTCTAATATAATTTCAAGCAATATTAATAATATTAATTACTTTTTATACAAGTGTCCTAATGTTTGGGGTCAGCAGGTTTTTATTATGAAATATTTTTTACAATTTACTAACCCAAATCTTTTTAATATATTTTAAAATGTAATTTTTTCCTGTAATGGAAATATTGCATTTTCAGCAGTCATTACTCCAGTCATCTTTACAGAATGAAAAAAAAAATCCTGTCCAAAAAAAAAACAACAACACTAAGCCCAAACCTTTAAACTGTATGTACAGTATATGAACATTCATGTCCCCTGCTGGAAAATCTAGAAAAATCTAGCCTAGAGTAAACATCAAATCAAAACGGACCTTATTTACTTTATTAACACATATTGCTTGTCTTATTGTGCATGACTCATCAGTGTACATTATACAAAGAAAAAATTGATTTATATGTGTAATTTTACGTTAAAATGCAACAACTTCTTTCACCTTTGAGACTAGTGATGTAGAGATATTAAAATTCTAATAAGCTGAGAATTCTAATTCTAATAAGCTGCTCATGAATTCTAATGAGCATACACAATTCATTATCTAATATCAGCTTATAAAACGGATAGTTCCGGTCCTTGATTCTGATTGGCTGAGTCACGTTCGAAGCTGTTGTAAATTACTCTACAAACATACACCTTTGTTTACTTTGTGTGTTGCTTGGCAACCACTTTATTGCAACCACAACTGATTCTGAGGAACTACATTGTTTGGTGGAAGAATACTGTTTTTATTAATATTATTACTAGAGCTAATATTATTACTATCTTTGGGTAGACAGCGAATCGATTCGATTCACGATTCATAGGTTTTCGATTCGATTCAAGAACGATTTTTGCAAATTCAGAAATTACTCAATTAAATTAGATTGGATTCGATTAACGATTCGATTCTGCATTCTTTAAGTGCATTCAGGGCCGTCCTTAGGGGGGTGCAACTGGTGCGGTCGCACCGGGCCCCGCGGCGAACGGACCGAGGGGGACCCCCACCTCCACCACCTTTTTTTTTTAGAAGGAATTATTTTCTTATCTCTTACTTTGAATTTGCTATAAGAAATCAAATACACTGCTGGACAATAATCAATCATTTGTAATCTATAATTTTTTCCTAATGGCAATTTTATGATTGTTTTATATACTACAAACAATTATTTCAATTGTCTGCACAGAATAAGGTAAAAAAATATACTTTATAGTTTCTGTACTGTAATAAATTATATGTCAATTACCACTGCATCATTCATAAATTGTATTTATTTATTGTGTTTATTGTCTTAACGTTTCACCAGTTCATTCTGCTTTTTTTCAGGTTAGCTGCAGCGATCGATGCCTTTGTCCATATTAGGCATTTTCTGGCACGTTCTTTGAGCGCGAGATCACTTCTCTTGCAGTGCGAAAACTTCTTTATCTAATTTTCATAAAATAAAATGCTATAGTATTTAACTTTTCCAACGAACGCTACTTTCACGCATCTGATAAACCTTGCGCTCTTATTTCAAGGTTGTGGTTAATTCTGTGGTTATTTTAACAGTTTCCTTTGTACATTCGGTTCAACAACATTGTTAAAACACATTTATCATTCAATGGAACT